GGCCCCTGACCCTTAGATGTCGTGCCCCCCTCCCCCCAAACTTAAAAATTTACCCCCCCCCCCCAATCACACATTTGGGCCCCTGAAATATCCGAGGGCTGCGTGTTTGAGATTCACAATTTTACCACCGATTTATTAAACAAGAGACTTTTTAAAGATCTTTTTCGGTGGGTAAACGGTCTTACAATAAATCTCAACTTTCTTGTAATTTTGAATTTATTAAAAATATTTATTTTTAATAAATGTTGGACTCTTTTTCAAATGTTGATGACTTGTGGGAACAATAGTAATAGCTAAAGCTTATAGATCAATGTTCAATTCTTTTATCGGCTGTTGTTATATTATAATAAGTAATACTCTAATTTAAGCATTTGTATCTTACATACTTAAGTAAGATACAAAAGCTTAAATTAGAATTTCAAATCCATTTTTTCCCCTTCAAATTTCAAATAGTTACTTTTATAGTGACGAGAGACTTTGTCAAGCAATGCGTAGGTAAGGCCTATTCATGGGCGTCATTTCCGTTTTTTTTCCCAGGAAAAGTTGTGGGTGGGGGGAGAGAGAGGACAAAGCCAAAACTTGGTCGGCTTGTTAAGTTGTATAAAAACCTGAAAATTCGGGGGGGGGGGGGCGCAAATGCCGGTGATTTGGATGATTAAAACTAGACATGGGCTATAACGAGACAAATCGGTTCGTAAAATATAATTTGAGGTTTGGGCTAGTAAAATAAGTTAACAGGAACTAGAATTTTCGTAATTAACAAACAATTAAATTAAAATTATGATCCCCCCGAAATTAAAATAAACAAAGGCGTTGATGAATATTGAATTTAAAAAAAAAAAAATTATAATTATAATGTGTTAATAGTAACTAAAAAAAAAACATTCTGAACCATTTCCGGAAACCAAGTTTATAACTATCTGATGTCATAAAGGTTAGAGTCATAGGTGACATACTAGCACTAAAAGTAGTTGCAACAGTCCAGGGTTCGGGAGGGAACCGTGTGGGTTACCCCCCCCCCACGCTAGTGGCATACCGTGCATCAGGTAAAGGGGGGGGGGATGGCAACTACCGTGGCCGTGGTACTTTTGGGGTTATAGTTATATACTAGAGTTTAACCGTGCGCAGTTTTCTTTTAAACCGGATCCGGGTATTTTGAGAAATAAGAGATAAGAGACTGTCCTTACACCCTACCTGCCGGCCTTAAAACAATATAGGCCTGCAGTAAGTCCTACGCAGTGGGGTAGCGAGGCAGGTGCGGGGGGTGCGGACCGCACCGGGTGACACCATTTTAGGGGTGACACCCGATTGAAAAATTGCATATTTACAGGGCACACATTGCTCGCAAAAATCGAGATTCATAAAAGAATAACCGAT